GAAGTGTTTCAATTTGCTACAGTTGATGGAACTTCTGCTGGATAGGCTGACTTCTGATGACTGGAAATCAATCCTCATATTCTCGCAGGCACACACATAGTTTAGTGCGAGAGACTCAGTCATGCGCTGGGTCGAAATTCTTAAGGCCAATGTAAACCGATACGGTAACTTACCATACCTTTTCAGAAAACCCCTATGAGCCAGTAGTCAGAAGAGTGATTCTTCCGTCACAACAGAAGACACACCGCTCTTCTTGGATTCATTTTTTACCTATCATCTTGCTTGATTTTTTTAGCACCTTGGCATGGGCTTTAACACGTACACACTCAAAAACGTAGTACTCGCATGATCAGTGTGTACCTTATGATTTTCCATTTGAATAGTCGTATGAAAACCTCGCCTGCTAATCCATCGGTGTTTTCTCAAAGCAAAAGCGGTTTGACGAAAACGTGTTAGCACAGTGGAACCATATTCGTAGTATCTGGTACTATGGTATCTCTGGGCTAAACTTCATTAGTTTAAAAAACCTCACGTTAAAAGCCTTCCTAGCTTCTACCACTACAAACCTGAAAAATTAATTTTTTCCACTTCATTCCATTTTGATAAGTCTCCTGTTTCTGCACCTGGTTCAGGAGTTTTTCAAAATGTTCGTTCCATGGCTAAAATATACAAATTTATCATTTCCGGCGTTAAGCACCCTTCCTTCGATTCTGGAAGGAATGGATGATTTGCTAAACTGTCCTATTTTCTCTTTAGATATTTCACTCTGACTCCTCACCCTTGATTCATTCATCTTTGTTATTCAACATGGTTCTCGACTTTCCACTTCAAACCGTCGCTGTTTCTGGTAAAGATAAGTTTCATCATAGAGTTCAGGATATCGAGTTAGAATGTGCATTCAAGATGACCTAGAGTGTGCAGATGGTATTGTTTTGGTAAATAGCACGGTGAGCGACTTCTGTCACCTGATGGCTTCGATTTGCAACAAGCTGCAAAAGCTGGCCTCTCCTTTAACACCCATGAGGTCCACAATTGTTTCGAACCCATTAGAGACGGCTCATCTCCTAGTGGAACTGACAGGGAATTCATAACGTTAGTCGAACAACTGAATGATCTCCAGCGATGGCACCATCGGATTATTATTGAATAAGACCATCGCTTCAAAGTCGGTACTTTGGTTGTCTTATTGAATGTTTGCACTGAGAAAAGGATAGCTATTCCAACAAAAATCCTCCTTTCCCTTGCATCAGTCAGGTCAGCGCTGTTGCACGGCAAAAAGTCAGTTGTTCAAACGAACCGGCAAGAACGACAGTTGAACTGCTTACGGCGAAGTTGGTCTCGTTGGATAATAAGTGTTAAATGGCTGGACTGTGTAAAGAACGACTCCGTTTACTTCTAGGCACAGGTCACCTCAAGACGGGTAGAGATTAAGAAAATGAGGTCAGCCCTGTTAGGAAAACTGGTTGAGCAAAAGCCTACCCTGCCAGCTTTTGTGTTGCAGCTGAAACACGGCAGACATCCGCCAGGGGGCCAGAGTGCAACCTAGAGAAACAGGTATATGCAGATCTGCTTTCGGAGAGTAATGTTTCTTTCTACAATTCAGTGACTCTCGGCTTATGTCAGAAGCATTGTATGACTGCCCACACAACTGGCATCACAACCCAAAAACGTTTGCTTATGCAAATGGCTCAAGACGATGAGAGTTCTGTCTTTGTCATAGGTGCACCTGAACGCACGTCGAGGTTCCTCCAGTCCTGCTTTATGATCTTCGCTTTTATTGCTGACCAAAACATTTGACCATCGAGTTGTCCCAAAAGGTTCTTGGACGACTAGATGATGACTAGATGATCAAGTGGAACCCAGTTTCTAATTCATTACATTCACTGGTGTCTCCTCGGTGAACCAAATGGCCTGTCGGTTTCCGCTTGGAATCGTGGAAGACAAAACTCATGGCTGTTACAAAATTTGTGCGCTTGGTACGTGATCTCGGCGAGACACGTTGCTTATTTAGGGGCCAGATCGTTTTTTGCCTGACCATCAAATTTTTCTCATTAGTCTTAGTTGCAGGCCGAGATTCAGCGTCGTAGAGAGGAAGGTTGAATCGAATGGCTCTCTGTTCATCCGCTTTGGCAGTTAAGTACTGAGTAACGATATATCAATAGGTAAAAACTGACCCATGCCGTTTTTCTTCTTTTGCTGATTTGTCCGCATAAGAAGTTCATTCGATCCACCGAATGGCTGAGGCATGCATTGTAGGTGGCTTTTTCGAATTATTAATCATTCTCGAAGACAGACTCCCTCCTGATCAGTTTGATTAATGAACAAACTCCATACTTTCTTTGTAAATTTCAAAGAAAACAATTAGTAATGTTTACGGAAATAATAAACAAACAAGAAACGACCCAGTAAAGAAAGCTCGAATTCAAGTTAGCAGCCACGGCTGAAACACCGAGCAACTGACGACCACAAAATGCTGACAAACGAATGCCCTACTGTAGTCGTTTCAGACGTAACTGGTTCTTGGACGCGAATCGCGAAGAAAGGTTCGAAGCAGCGGCTGGATTTAAAATCCTTGCTGATGCTGCTTAGCCGTTTTCTGAACTGTGCGTTTCGTCAGAGGCCAAAAACCAGCTGTCCACGTCCACACGGGTGCTTATCCGGTGGTGGTCGTTCTGGGAGGAGCTGGACACATAGCATGAAGCGACTACGTTGAAATGACTCTCGGCCAGTTTGCTGAGCACAATGCACATGAACACGCGGACGATCAGGTCACAGCTGCCTGGACTTCCGATCCATGGCATGCCGTACAGGTCGATTTCCAGGCTACCGAAAAAGTCGCTCATCTTCTGAATGCCGTAAGGCCACCAGCCGTTGATCGTCTCGCGGATGACGTGTGCCAACTCCAGTTTGACGTCTATCAGTCGCATCTTGTTCTTCGAGTTCAGGCTTATGCAGCAGTGATTGCGGTTAGCGGCCGTCGAGCTTCGAAATATAAATATCGACTTGTCTGACGGGTTCCTGGTCAGGTCGATGGTAGCACTGATGACCCAGCCATCGCTGGACAACGCTCCGAAGATGTTGTTCAACAACTTCCGTGAGTAGACGCAGTACTTGCCGACTGTCTTCCACGGAGTACCGTTCAATTTGTAACACCACGCCCGCGTCTCGTCCACCTCCTCTTTGAGACCCTTCTGCCAGTGCGTCTTGGTCGTCTGCCGGATGGTATCGATCACACTAGACGGTCCGCCGTATATCCGGATCTTATTCACGCCGTCCAGCGTCATCATGAGGTAGTCCACCTCCTGCGAATCACCTGGTTTCATTTCGGTTGCAAGAAAGAATATTGTGTCCGCCGTACCCTAAGCAGTTGATCATGTTAGAAAGTTCAGCCGAGTAACAAGCAAAAACTGGTAGGGCAAGATTTGATCACAAAATCAAAATGCTTCCTCTGCGGCCAAAGATTACCATCGCAAACAATTAATTAACCATTGCAACTGTACAGACATCTCTGAGATACAGATTGATAATCGACAGCTATTTATGAACTAATGAATCATTTGACTGCTGTTCTGATCAAACTGTGCATTGCTATATTTTCACTGAAAGAGGTGTCGGAAACGGGCATTAGGTAAACCCATGACATGCATGCTGGAGTAACGACGATAACACAGGAGGTGAAACAGAGGAATCCCTATATGTGGGTAAAGGTCCTTTGAAGTTCAAATGATATTATGAGCAATGACGGACACGCTGAATTAAGATCTTCATGAAACATGCCCACACTTTAAGTTGTATGCAAATTATGTAATTCTGAATAGTACAAACAGAGACAATGTATAAGCAAAAGCTGAAGCATGAAGAGTAGTCATTAAGAATTGACCTCGGCAATTGAAAACGCATGTCAGAAGACAATGGCAAATAAGGAATCCGGTCGAATGAGATTAGGTTCAAATGACGAAAATGGGTTGCACGAGTTTCGATACGAAAATACCAAACAGCTACCGGGGAAGTTTTACAGAATTGCAGCATGACACGTACTTCTTTACTGAGCTGTGTGTTTAGCTACACTTAACAGAAATGAACTGCAACTGTGCTACCTAGAAATGTGCGAACTCACATGGATGATATATAAACAGAAAGAAACCTCCATTAATTCTTGTTTCAGTTAAAATAGCCCCAGTAACAAAGAGTTCATTAAATTCAGGCCCCGCGAAATGGATTCCATTTAAAGAAGGCCTGGGGGATTCATTGGAAAAGTAGTCAAAATACCGACACTCTTATGAAAGGGAAGAGGGATAAACAGGTTGAAGGACGTTGTAAAGAATAATAAGAAACCATGATGAGGGCACAGAAATTCGACCAATTCGAAATTCCGTCACGAAGCAGAAGGAACTAACTTGGAATCTGAATACGCAACATACATCCCTCAGACAATTGACGCCTATTCAGCTAGAAGGTTCATAAATGGGATTATTCCTGTCTTAAGCTATGTCAGGTGTTGCTTGAATCTTGATCACTCATCAATCTCGAGGACTCCAGTCAGCAAAGCTATCAAAGTCATAAGAAGCGATCAGCACAGAAATGCATCGAGTATGAATGGAAAATACGACAGATGAATGCCATGCAGAATTGTAGAAGGAGGTCGAAGAGGTAAGAAATTCTACTTTCACATTTTTGTGACCGGATAACACTTAACTGTCTGGTCATGCCTTCGAGCATACGGAATAGATGGCCAAGTGTTGAGGGCCATCGAATCACTGTATTCTGATAGCAGGTGCTGCGTCAGAGTTAATGGCGTTAAGTCGAAACCATTCAGTGTTCGCACCAGTCTCCGCGAAGGCTACATCCTGTCCGTTATCCTCTTTGCGTTTTACATGGATAGAATAGTCAGGAGTTGCCAAGGCGATGAGGGTATCGGTGTAGGACGTGTGAAGTCGAGAAGGTTGCTATTTGCAGACGACCTTGTTTTATTAGCATCTTCTGAAACTGATCTTCAGTACTCCTTAGAAAGGTTCGCAGCCGAGTGCGACGTGACCGGCATGCATGTGAACGCATCTAAAACGAAAAGC